TAGCTGTTTGAATTTCCCTTTTGTTATTTGGCCTCCACAGTTTATTTGCTCTGCCTTTGGTTTCCCCATTGTTTTCTCCTTGATTAGGCTTAGCCTCACTTCTCTTTCCTGCGAAAGGAGGCAAGAGATTTGGGACTGTAGAACGGGGGTTTTAAATTGATTTGCATCCTCTACCTGGTTTCACACATGCAGCATTCTCCTCTTCCCAGCAGTGCTGAGTAAATCCCTTACTGTGGCAGCTTCTCTCCTTCTTGCTGTGTGGGCATAGGGTGGCTGATAGGGGAATTTCTCTTCTGCAATTCCAAAATCATACAGAAACAATTCCTTCAGAAAAAGGTTACACTGAAGAGCAGGAATGTGTCTTGGATTGGAGAGAGAAGTGACGGATCTCTTAGGGTAGGCTTTTGTTCAGTTTCTGCTTTCTTTTCCCTCCCAACAGAAATGCAGAAATTCTGCCCTTTTTAACCCAAAGAGAAAAAAAGCAATTAAAAGGTGTGAATCTAATTATTGCCTTGGCTTAGAGTGAGTTTCTACAGGAAATGAAACTAACCTGGCAGGAACTGGGATTATATTATTTGCATAGCACAAAACCATTGCTTCTTTGAGTTTTTGAGGAGCTGACAGCACGTTTTTCTAGACTATATGTACTTCTCCAGTTTTGCATATTGACCTTTTAGATTACTCAACAGTGACTCATGATAATTAACACTTTTAAGGGTGGCATTTTATGCAGAACACTAACTCTTTTTTCTTTTTTTTTCTAAATTACTTGTCAATTATGGCCACAGACTGAGCAAAGGTTGGGTGAATACAGTCATTTAATGCATTCCAGATAATTTCTATTTTTCAATGCAAGAAACTAGAATTCCCATGTTCCTTCCCCTCTCTTTCTTACTTATATTGGCTGTTATATTGCCTCTTCAATGCTACAGCAGAAGTCCAAGTAAAACCAGAGCTCCACATTTGTTACCAGACACGTCTGTAGATGCTGCTTTACAGGCAATGTTGCAGAAGGACCTTTAGGTGTAGCTGGGAGAGGTGGTTGTGCAGCTCCCTTGAGTTCAGAGAAGGTTTCCTTTCTCTCAAGGCTGTTGTAGTGTGGCATGCAATGATAGCAAAACTTCTTGAGGCACTTGCATGTTTCATCATTTTCTTCTTTCAAAACTTAGGTGTTCTTTCAAAAACTGGACAGGAGATGTTGAATGTATGAATGTATGATGTATGAATAGTGCAGTCATGTAGTACCCCAAAATACCATTCAATTTTGCTGTAAAGTTTTGTGTCATGAGGAGGAAGAAGACTGGTTGGTAAGGGAGAAACATGGCAGAAATCCCCACTTTTGCTCTCATTTTACTTCAGTCTTTTCACTGGACAATATTTGTCCCTGAAAAGCTACAGAGGTCTTGCCCTGAACTATCAAAAACTCCATTTCAAAATGTCTCAAAAGGCTTTCAGTGTGTAAGATCTGTTTCAATCTGTTGTTACATGAGGTGTCTGCAGTAACATAAAATAATAATTTTTTCAGAAAAAAAACATAATGTAAAGGGAAAAAGGTTAGTTGATGAAACACAAAAGAATAAGGCAGGAGTGCTGACTCACCAGCTTGCTCTTCTGTGTCCATTTTAACCTGCAGAAGGGGGATTGGTTGGATGCTCATCTGGGCTCTCAGGAGGACACCTCAGCCTCCCTGTGAAAAACAGCAGGGAAGGGTCTGCTCTCTATCCTGTCCATCACTGCAGCTCCAGACACTTGCCACAGTTTTCAGAGAGCAGATGTTCAAGATACCCCAAGCCATTTATTCCCACAGTCTGCACAATGTGTATACTGCAGAAATGTATTACCTATGTGGGAGCTTCAACTACTGTTAAAATACTTTAAACTGCTCTTTAACTACTGTTCTCTGCTGTTCTTGATTGGTGGTTTAATGATGCTGGATCAAACCCTGAAGGGAAACTGGCCAGGATTGGAGGAAAGGGACTTTCTGACATGAAAGACAATACCAGCACAAAAAATGAGAGGATGAATTGGGGAATAGGTAAGAAGCACCTTCTAATCTGCACAAAAGTTCAAAAACAAGTTTCCAAGATGAATAGTGGGATATTTAAGGCCATTTATTTTGTAAGACAGATCTTGAGCATTTTATGTCTCAAAGTGATGCTTCATGCATGTGGGTGCTGAAAGTCGGGACGTTTTTCTTCTTTTTGCTTTCAGTCCAAAGATTTTAAGACTTATGTGTCCCTTTAAAATTTCCAAACTGTGCACACAATATTTTGTTCAAGGGATTTTTGCAGTTAATATTGGACTTGATTATAGTGCAGGTGTATGTTTTATGATGTTGTTGATGGATGTGTCCTAATTGTGCAGGACGGGAAACCATGAATATAAGGACATGACCATTTTCATAATGAATGACTAAACACTGTAAGAAGTGCTTGACTCAAAAAGAATTTTAATACCTTATTCATAGTAGCAGGAGCAATAAAGGAGGGAGGAAATAGAAAGCATACTTACTGTGGTTTGGGTGTTATTTTGTATTTTAACATAGTTTTTCCAGTAGATTCTCTTTACTCTCAGAAGAGTAGATCTGATTTTTCAATGTGGTTATGAGGCATCTGAGAGCTTTTAAATGATGCTGAAGCAGGGAAGAGTTGTGAAAATTGGCACTTGCTGATGGTATCCACATCCCTTTAAAAATACATTTAAAACTTCTGTGTCTTTCAGGTACTTGTCTAAGTGCACATGGATGTGGAAAGGAATGGCATTCCTGTTTACAAGGAAAATGTTTTGTGGTAATTGCTGGGTGAAAGGACTGTATCCTGTAGGGAGTTTCAAGGGTAGTGACAAATCAACAGCCTTGAAAGGTCCTTGATAAATGAATGCCATGTCTTGACTGGGATCTAAGAGAAACATGTAATGTTCTTTCCAGTCTTGAAACCTGAGTCTGAAGGCTACAGAAACCTTGAAATAACTTTCTATCAACAGCCAGGCCAATTCCAGTTACAGCAAGGGGCAGTCAGAAGAACCTGGAGATGGAAGACCACTCAGTTACCAGCTACACTGAGTTAGAATGGTCTGCATGAAACAAAGCAGACTTGTGGTGTAAATGAGCTTTCCATTACCCTCCTGACCTCAGCAGCTTCATCAGCACCAGCACCAGTGAGAGACACTGACTGAGGCAGCCTGGCTGGGATCTTTGCTAAGGGCTGAGCCAGCTTGGTGACGGAAGCATGACTGGAAGGCCCATTCAAAACCTCCTTAATTCCTGGATGCTACCACATCCAGGAAGGTGATACAAAACTCCCTAAATTCAGAAGCAATCTAACCTTAACAGCATCTTTTGTGGAAGAGTTGTATCTTTAGCTGACAGCATCAGAGGATGAATGCTATTTTCAGAGGGGGAACTAGTCCGTATTTGAACTGCTCCATGTGGATTTAATGGTGTCAGAGTAGTGACAGCAGAATCACACCTTCTCTCCCCTCTGACTTTTTTGTAATGCATCTCTGAAGCAAAGCTTACAAAGAAAGAAAGATGAAGTGCTTAACTTTGATCTTCATGAGCAAGAAACTAGAAAAAGGCAAGAGGCCTAGGATACTTACAGTAAAACTTCTTCCTGGTTATGTTTGCTTTCCTGCAAGTGCTTTGCTGTTCTTTGAAGCCACATTTTACTGCAGCTGACATTGTATTTCTGTAAAAGCCGTACCCGCAATTTTACGCGTGAGTGAGGTGTGTGCAATGAAGAGTGATGGATGAAGCCATGGGACCATCTGGAGAGCAGCTGCCGCCTCCCTGCTCTGAGCAAGGTGGTCCTGATGGCCAGAGCTGCCTCTCCTCCACAGCCTGGGCAGGGAGCTGAAGGCTGAGACCCTTTCCCAGGTTAACCCTGCCTTGATTTGGGGTGTGCTGCTTGGCCAGTGGCATCACCCTTTGGCTGGACAGCAACACTAACAGTTCATGCCTGGCTCAATTAAGACAAAACCTACTAATTTACACAGAAGATAACATTTCTTTATTTTTCTAAACCTATATTGTTGCGCTATTTTTCCCATCTGTGCTCAGTATAACCGAAGCATAGTCCTGTCATCTGAACTTGACTTAAAACGTTAGAATTTGGACAGCAGGGTATTAGAGAAGCTCTGCCTCCTCCTGCTCACCTCTAATAATAATTTGCTTTATACAATCTTTTAAAAGTATGTATGGATATGTAGCAAGATGATAGATGTGGTTTGTCTGAATAGATTTCTCTCAAACAGAAATAATCAGCTGCTCAATGGCTCAAGCACCGTAGCAGAGACTAAAAGAGGAGTTTCAGGATAAAAATACATATAAAATAAAGAAATTGAGAGAGTGAAGTGAAATTCATTCTTTGAGAAATAGTGCCTGTGTTTTGGAAGAGAAAAATAGACAGAAATCGTTGCACTTTGAGGTTTGACCTAACTTTTCCCCTGAACTTCCATGTATTTTTTGACACTGTGACAAGCAAGGAGTCAGCTGAGATGGGGAGGATTTATGGAAGCAGGTGGGACATCACTGTAATGTTGCATGGATGCTTCCACACTTGTTCTGTTGCAGGCTTTGAGCAGGGGTGATCTTTGGGGCCTGTGCTCTGTAACCCCATCCCACCTACCCTCAGGAAATTTAATTTCCTTCCTTTTTTGCTGCAGCAGTGACAGGGCTCACACCCAGCAATTAAATACCTTTGATGTATCGCCTGCTGTGTAATCAATAGCAAGGAAATTCCATGTGCTTGCAGTGACAAGGGGCAAATTAATAATTTATGGGAAAGGAAGAAGAGATAACAGCTGTAACATCCCTGGCCTCCTCTCCCCCTGGCTGTGCTTGCCTACAGGGTGACCACAGAAGAAAAATGTCTGATTGAATAATGTTTGCACAGAAACCAGCCGTGAATTCTTTGGGCAGCGCAGTTAGGATGCAGTTTGTCAAGTGTATCTTTTGTGATTGTGGCTCTAACAAGAGCTCTGCTGATGTGTTTTTCATCTAGTGAAAACTACATTGCCTTTATTCGCCTTCTGTTCGAACACCAGCTGTGAGGATTGCACTGAATTGTTGAATAATCTCTGCTAATGTGTAAGTAATACTTGCTGACTTACATGAGAGTTGGTCCTATTTCTTACTGAAAAAACATTTAATTTTTATTAAGTAAAGTAAAAAATACCTGTTGGTAAAGACTATAAATGAATACAGGTTTCACTTTCATTTTGCTGCTCTATTTCCTCTCATAATCATGTAAGATGGTGGCTGCCTTCTTAAACAAACAAACAAACAAAAAACCAAAACAAAAAAAAAAAGTAAGACTCAAAAACCCAACAACAACAACAACTAATCCTACCAGAAACCTCTCACAAAAAATTAACTAGTACTTGCAGCACAGAACCCCTGCAGATTGAGAAGGAAAAGATTTGGTGGTGGCTGACTGTTGAGGAAAAGCCCTAAATAGTAACACAAACATCAAGATGCATCTTGAAGAGGTGGTATGCAGGTATTGCAATACTCATATTTTCACATTGCTGGAACATTTTCCTCTAGCTTTTACTATAAGCATTTCCTACAGAACTACCTGAATCCTCAGATAGTGGTGGACATACACACTTGGAGTAGAGTACAGCTGACCTCCTGCATGTGCAGGCAGGATAATGAGGAATTTTGACTAGGTGCTTAATTATGAGCTTCTTAATGCAATTGGTGCAAAATGGGTCATCTGTCTTGGAAGGCAAGCTGCCACAGGTGGGCTTTCCACCCCTCTGCCCTGCCCTCCCTACAACACAGACAAGTGAAAACTGGGTTTGAGAAGCAGTTCTTACCCCATGGCTCACAGTCCTGTGTGGCACTCAGTTTGCCCATGCACTGTAGGTTGTTTACCCTATCAGCCTTTTTCCTTTATAGCTGTATTTGTGCCCAAGCTGCCTGGTTATAGCCTGATTCATCTACTTATAAAAATAAAATTGTATTTTAAAACTATCCAAACCTTAGAAAGTTTGTGGCTCTTTTTTCTCCTCAGAATTTGCATAGGTGGGCAAATAAACAGCCAGAGGTATGTAGAGAATTCTTGTTCAAGAAAACCAAAAGCCCTAAATATCTCAAATGTCTGGAAATTTAACATCTTTTTTAGCTCTGTATTTTTAGCTTGACTAATAACATTTACATAATCAGAGAAGAATCTGGTGACGACAAAATCTTTTGTTCATTACATCAACTGGTGTCAGAGAGAATGATGAAAGAGCAGCCTTTTAAGATTTTACTGAGAAGGTAAGACTTATGTTCCTTTTCAGGTCCTGCATAATACTTCTTACTAGCTTTCACTGGTTTCCCCTCTAAATAAGAATTAAAGACTAGTGCTATCTATCCAGGAATCTTGCTGAAGGCAGGAGTAAGAACCATACAGGAAAACATATTGTTCAGGACTAGTTTTTCCCTGTATTGACTATTTCTGTACTTTCTTCTGAGGACGTGATCTCCTCTCTTCAGCTTGTGACGTCCCAGATTTTCTGGAGAGCCATTCCCTTTGGCAGTCCTGCCACAGCCAAGTCTCTGTGACATGACCTGATCCAAATGGCACACAATGTGTCAGCCTCCTGTCATTTTTCCACTTGGCATGCAGCAGTGTGCTGTTTATTCTCGAAAACAACAGCAAAAGAAAAAGACTCAGAAATGTGTTTTCTGACACACAAATTGGCCTTCCTTTGGAAAACAACCTTGCTGTCAAAAGGCAGGGTGCAGATAAGTGTTTGCTGCATGAGGAGTGTCAGTGCCACTGAAGTACTATAATGCCCTCCTCAGTCCTAGATTATGGAGCATTTCTCCAGAAATGAGACAGAAACACAGAAAGAGCAGGCTCATTCCTAGTGTGGCTGTGGTAGTATTTTTGAGGCAAAGCAAGCTTCCCACATGAAGAAATATCTTCAAGGTTTAGCAACAGATTGGTTCTGGCCTACAGCTGCCTTTAAAAATGTGTTTTAAGACTAATTTCCTAGTAGTCACATAATGAACTTGTTTAGAAATTTGGAAAGAAAGTACTTAATGATGTTTTTGTGAATTCTTGATGTTAAAATAATCAGTAGTTTATCTGAGAACAGAGGAAAAGCATAGTTGAATAGTTAAGAAGCAGAATGCAGAAGCAGAGGGACTACCTAGCTGCTCTCAGTACAACAGGGCAAACAAGATCCAAGAATTGCCTTGGATGTGCAGAACTGAACTCTGGTGACCTCTGAGAGGAGCAGCTGCCAAATCCCCAGTTTGGATCCCTGCTCCTTGTCTTCACACCTAGAACAGGAAGAGGAAGAGGAGGGATGCTCAGAGCTAAAAATCAGGCCTTTTTATCCATGCCTGGCCTGGCCATCTGGGATGGGCAGTGTTGCAGCAGAAGTTATTGCCAGTTTAGGAACTGCCACTAGAGCAGCTGCCATGCTTGCTTGGGACTGCAGCTGTTGGTATGTCAGTAGCATACAGCTCTGTTTTCCAGAAGAGTTTTGCCAGCTTTTGGTAACAGCCAGGAGCCTTAATCACACTCCTGGATCCTCGAAGGTTGCTCAGATGTTGGGAGACCACACAGTGGTGTCTTATGCCATACAGAGCTTCCATCTTTGGCCTTAGTGTTGGAAACAGAACTTAGGTGCTTATGTCTCTGCATGGTTTTCTTTGATTCATATAAAGGTGTGATGCTTCAAGTCTTGACTGAGTTTATTGTATTCCATGTAGTGTAAAGAAGAAAGTAACTATATAAGCAGTGGTGCAATGGGACCATTGGATGCTGCATTTAATTTTGCATCTCTCTAGCATCAGAAACTTGAAGTGTCCAAAAAAGTAGTTGAGTGTTAAAAGCTGTGCAGAGAATGACTGGTGTTTTGCTCAAGTCATTAGAAAGTGCAGGGATGGAGCAGACCCAGAGCAATGTCACGGGGCCTGGTGTTGCGTGCTGAATTCCTGCAGCACACATGGAACACCAAGCCTAGCACTATTTCTATGTGCTCCCACACGTGTACTTATTCTCCTGTCTTGTGTTGTTGCTGAATATAGTCTGCACAGCTTCCACCACTGTTGTCACGACTCTCTTAAAACACCAATTAGATCAGAAAAAAAAAAAAACCAAAAAAACACAGACATCTTGGAGCCAGGTCTTAGCAGTGACGACAGCTCCCTTTGTGCTGTCTTACAAATACATCTGGTAATAAGAAATTAAAATATAAATGCCAGTGAAATTTCATGGGGCACACCTAGGAATCTCAGGAGAGGCTTGGTGTTGAAAGGGCAACATTTCCTAGGGGCTGGAGTAGGGCAGCTGAAGTCAGATTTATTCAGACACTGTCTTGTCAGGAAAAAAATGTAGATCTGAGTATGAATATGCCCCTGTAAAGATGGCGGGTGCTCTGTTTCTTACTTTCCACATTCTGTTGCTCTCCTTCCTGCTTGCTTTCTGTGCCTTGGGAGGAGCAACAGGCCTGTCATGCCTGCCATTTGAAGCATTGCAGTAGCCCATCTGACCTCAAAAGATGTGTCACAGTGCAGCTTTTGCTGGAGGCTGTACAATGGATGGGTTATTCTCAATGGGAATATGAGAGTCACAAATCATTTCCACACAGAGACCCGAGAAATCACATTACAGACTTAAAGGCCAGTGGAAAGTCAACAAAATGCCCTTGGGCCTGAGCAAACTTTTGTCCTGGATCACAGAGATGGCAAATGTTGAGAGAAATAGATGTTGCATTGGAAATAGGTTTTCTGCTTCTGCAATGAAATATTTCTGTTCAATATAAAAATAAATACTTTCCATTTAGCTGAGATTATCAATTTGTTGGGCCACCAAAAGGTAATGTCCAAGACTGGAGCCTCAGGCTTACTGATAGCTGTCTTCAATGAAGGATCCTCAGGGTCTGGGCAGACTGACATTCGTGAGCTGCTGACTGGGTGCCTGACCATGGCCCATGTCTGTGAGCCTCCTCCCAACACGGGCCATGGCTACCACACACAAAAAGTTGGATACACTAAGCAACATCCAGGTATTAGTTTATCTTTCTACAAGTGAAACAAACAAGACTTAGTCATATCAGTTTCTAAGAGGAAAGACAATCTTCTTAATGCAGAGTATATGCAATTCATTATTCTTTTCAGTGAAATGCAGAGTGCACCTTGCTGTGCAGGCCAGCTGCTCATTTATAAAATTGATTATGCATTCTCTAAAGCCATCTCTAGGGAGCAGCTAAATTGCATCCACTGCCACAAAAGTCTTTGATATCCCCATGGTTGAAGAATATTATAATAGCAAGGAATAAAAGAAAGATAGGCTATGTTCTGAATTTTGATGTTTGTCAGATTTTGCTTGCCTCAAAATGTTTCAGAAGAATGTGTTTCTGGCATAAAAGCTGCCCTTAACCTCACAGCAGGAGCACCCCAAGAAGTCTTGGAAATTGAAGGCTACTTTTATTGTAAAAAAAGGTAAGAATTCATCTGCTTTAAATTTTTTCCCCCATAATAATCATATGCATGGTTCAGATAATACCATATTGACTCTTTGATTCTGTTGCTTTAATATGACTTCACCATAATCTCTGTGAAGAGTATATATGATATATATGATAACACTGTATGAAAAGATCTAGCAGTTTAGTAGTCACTCTATATATCAAATAGCTGGGCATCAAACTGCCTGAACTTTGACTTCACTGCAATTTTCTGGAACAATTTTTTCCCTGAAACTAATCCTTAATGAACTGCTCACCCTCCCCTCAATAAAAGCTTCCCTATACCAGTGTAGGCAAACATCAGAATGTAAAGCAGATACTGCTTATAAGTGGATCATGAAGAAACTGCAGAAAAATTAAAAGGCTGCATGGGTTTTCCTATTTGCTAGTTTTTAATTCATTTAAACCTTTTATTCTACAGTGATTTTGTAATTAGACAAGCTATAGCTATAAACCGAATAATCCCTGAGTGACAGATTGTGGCATATATTGTTTATGCTTTACAAAGTCATCTATAATCTCTGGCTTTCAGGAACTGCTTTAGGTGGTATTTTCAGCTCAGAGAAGGGGCAGGCCTATGGAAGGATGCTGGAGCTACCAAGGTCCAAGACAGCTGTTGCCATAGACACCAGTTTTGAAGGGGCAGATTGAGCCTCTTGAGGGGAAGATCTGGTCCTACCTCCATGCTTAGCCAAGTGTCTCCCACACATTTCTGGATTAAGGATGTCTGTGAGCCTCAAAATGGACATTTCCCCAGTTTGGTAGCCAGAGCCAGACTGAGTCTGCAGGGAGGTAAATTTGGGAGGTAAATTGTTCCAAGGTCTTTCCCTGCAGCCCTAAAAGCCAAGGTCACAAGTGCTGGACAAGGGCTTTTCTCTCTGCTCCTCCCTGTTATGAAAATACGGACTTCAAGGGGCTGGAAGATGTACTCTAGTGACTGATATAAACACCTACAGGGTGCTTACATTGCTTATTTTATTTTATCCCTCCAACCCTGCCTGAGGAACAGCCCTGACCACCTGCTTCTTTCAACCAGTACATCTGCAGCTCTTTCACAAGAGAGTTTCAGACTTGTGGGGTCAGAGTGTGGAATGTGACTGCTGCTGTGAGCTGCATCCTGAGGAGTTCCATGAGCACTCCCTCAGACCTTAAACTTCTCTGTGTGCTCTCTTGTGCTGGTTTGGCTGGGATAGAGATAATTTTCTTCACAGTAGCTGTAGTTTGTATTTGCAGTGAAAACAGAATTGATAACACAAGGATGTTTTAGTTATTACTTGAGTAGGGCTGGCACTCAGGCTTTCCTGCCTCTCACACCACTCCAGCAGCGATCAGGCTGAGAGTGCACAAGGACTTAGGAGGGCTTTTTTCCATAGTTTTCCTGTTTAAATATTGGTGCTGTATTTAAAAAACAAACAAACAAAAAAAACCCAACAACAACAAAAACAAAAAACCCAACAACAAAAAAAAAAAAAAACCAAAAAAACCCAAAACAAAACAAAACAAAACAAAACCCCCCCAAAAAAAACCCAAAAAACCCATCCTAAGGTTCAGAGAGCTTGACAAAGCCCCTGGGCCTGATCCACCTGAAGTATTGGGGAAAGACAGAAAGTCAAAGTATCTCTCTGTAAATCAGATGCATAGCACAAAAATGACCCCTGTTCAGGCCCAGACTTTAGATACCTGACCCTCTGGGTCCATAGCTGTGAGTGAAATGGAGCTGTCTAGCTCCATCATATTTCAAGGTTCTTTAATTATATTTAGCAAGATCTAGGTCACTGCATTCTTTTCATTTCAGACTCAGGGCAATAGAGTAGTGGAAAGGATTTTTTGAATGCACAGGGCTGTAGGTTTAGTCAAGTGAAGGTCTTTACGACCAATGGGGGTAAGGGCTTAGTATGTGTTTGTCTGACATTATACGGGCTGTGATTTCCATGTCTTAATGTTAAAAGGATGGGCTTTCATAGCTATTGACTGCAGACTAAATTTTAGCAACTGAATAATCCTACTAAACTTTCTCTGTACTTTCTCTTTAGTGAATTGCACTTGGCAGTGCAGCTTTTAAGATAGAAAGTAGAAAAATATTTCAGTATACTCCAGGTGTTTCTAATGCAATCTCATTTTTCTTTCAGCTGTCAGAGAATTAATCCATCATGAGTTGGAAATGTCTCTTGAAGATACATGCATCTTCCCATTACAGCATGGTCAAATGCCAGCCTGTTTCTTTGAGAATTCTTTTGAAGATTCTAAGCCAGTTAGTAGCTTGATTTTTCTCTCTCCTGACTTCTTTTTGCAGCAGATTATGTCATTGAAAGCTATGGGAGCTTAGCTGTTAGAAAAATAGAGCACAGTGTCTCATTATTCTGTATTCTCAAGACAGAGCTATTTCTTTAGTCCTGATGCATTTCTACACACAGTTTAGCAGCAGTGCCTTTACTGTAGCAAACCTGCAAGGAACAGAGGGTGATGGAAGAGAGGAATACTGATGAAATTGCATCAAAGACCTCTGTGTGTTGCAGTGTTAGTGGTGTGTGCATGTGTCATTGACTTGTGTATTTTCTGTGGTTATCTGTATCATGTCCCTTGAGGTGTAAAGTGTACAGTTGTAATCCAGACTTTTATCAGTGAGGTTTATGTATTTTTGCATTTTCTAATGGCTGGAACAGGAGTTCAAGGAGGACTGAACAGTAGCTGCAGTGTGTGATGGAGACAAACAGTTTTCATATCAGGAGCTTATCTGAGGAGAAAACTGTGGCCCTGGTGAAACTTCATACTCAGTGATCTGTAATGGCCCTTGTGCTCTACACTAAGTGCATCTTATTGCAGATTTCCTCAGACCTATTTTTAGATGGTAGATGTATCAAAAATCTTAAATATAGCAATGCTTGGCTTTTGGCCCCCCTATGGTCCTTGGCTAAGTTAATTTTCCAGAGTGTGGAGCTGGTGAAAACATAGGGATCTATGAGAACATTTATGGAAGTCAGCAGACAGTGTACCTCTAAATTGAATATGCTGGAAAAAAAAAAAACAAAACCACACAACAACCAAACCACTCCCCAAAACAACTCTCTCCCTCCCAGCTTTTCCACAAATTCCCCGCATAACCAGGCTGAAGTTGGTCACATTCTTCTGCTTGGAGTCTTCAGATGTGAGCCTCTTCTCTGTCTCTGAACAAGATTATTCTCGCCCTCATTTAACAAAATTGGCATTTCTGCCAAACATCAAGAGAGGATTGTATCAAAACATCTTTGCATGCAAAGTATTTGGATCTAAAAGGGAGAAAAAGAACTGATCCAGCTTTGACATGCAAATGGTGGCTGTCTAGAAAAATAACCCCAAAACAGCATTGCTATCCAGGATCAAAACTTCCAGGACATTTGAGCCCAAATGTCTTCTGTATGGCCTTTTGCCAGCTGTACAGCACCTGCGACATTCGGGCTCACAAGTCAGCAAGACATAAAATGTCCCAAATGAAGAACTTGAGATGAAATACCAAATAAGGTATTATGGTCACCTGGGAAATGGGGAGCTATCTACCTTGGAGCATTTTACTACTGCAGGCCATGAGGTTTCTTAGGATAAGATGTGCCTCCGTGGCTAAATTTGGCATCTCAAGAATAGGGAAATACTGTGTTCTGCCATTTAAAGTGGTCCTTGTGCACCAGCGTCCTTTGGGATCTTGTGAGAAGTTTTTAATCAACGGAATCTTTTCAACAGCAAGTCTTTCAACTGTACGTCTAAACTGGAGAAACTGTTGGACGGTTCAAAGGCCCTGATTTCCTCCAAGGCTCCTTTCTTTAGCCTCATGTCAACTTCACTGCAGTGACACTTCAAATGAGGAAATCTGATGACCCCGTGCTGCTCAGTGTTTGGCAGCCGCAGGTTTTAAAACAACATATTTCTCTTATTCAGAGGCTAGGCATCACTGAGCAGAACAGATTTAGCTGCAGTAACTTTTTCTAAAATAATCCTTCTAATAAATTAGTCTCACTAGAATTGTACCAGACCTGTGTGCAATCCCATGCTGTGCTGTCTTCTGTTCCAACATACACTGGGGAAATTCAGCGGACGAGCTTTGGACTTACACCTCATCCACTCATGATTACTGAGAGATGGTGGGGAAAAACGCCTCAAAGGGTTTGTAAAAGGTAACAACTGTATTCTATAAAAAAAAAAAAATCGACACAAACCCAAGGTACCTCAGTCCCACTTAGGAATCAGGGCTGTAAATTGCCTAATGTGCTATAAACTCCTTCTGTCAGGCACTAAGTCATGCAAATCACAGTGCTCTGCCAGTCTGCAGAGTGCTTAACTACTGTGTAAGGTGCAGGTACCCCGAATCCCATCTTTCTACCTGGTTTTGGGTCTTCAAACAAGGTGCCCCTTACAGGGAGCATTAGGCTCCTCATTAGTGGAGGAAGTTCTTCATATAAGGATATTCATACTTTATGTTACCAACAGGTTCTTAAAACATTATTTGTATTTCTTAAAGCATAATAATGCTCTTAACAATAAGTTCTCAGCCCGTTTCAACATCTCCTGTCCCTTCTGTCCTCTACGTTACTCCTTGCTTCAGTTTCTTCTGATATGCAAAAGGTAAACAAAAGTAACACAAAATTGTGAGTGAGGATCATACAGAGATTATCTCCAGAAATTAAAAAAAAAATCAAATCGTGTCTCCCCCTGCTGTGTGAAACAGAGTATTTTGAATTGTGTCTATTCCCAAAAGCAATGTTACTAGAGTTGGTCTTCCACCCGATTACAGAAACAAATGAACAAACACAATTTGTAAATATCAAATAGAATGAGACCTCTTGATACAAACATTTTACATTTATTGGAAGAGTACAGTAAAACGGGGACTGCAGACTCATTAGTGGTAAGTGGTCCAAAGGAGAAGACAAAGGACTATTCAAAAAAGGTCTGCAGTTTACAAGAAGACTGAAAATCTCTTACATAAACAGCCTAGGAAAATAAAAAGTTAGCTTGAGTTCTAAAGTGTAATTTAAAAGTGTATAAAAAATTGGCAAATAAATAAAGTTAAAATGCAGATCTATTTAAAATTATAAAGGACCGACAACTGGCAACTGTATAACATAGTTATCATTTTCAGACTTGATTAAAAGCCAGATAAACTCACAAATGTTGTTTCTTTTCTTTTTTTTTTTTTTTTTTTATTTTAAATGTGCTTTAGGGAAGAAGGACCCATTTCCAGTGTTATGTATTACCAATCTGTTTCACAAATATATTATTTTTAAACAATAAAGACCATGAAAGGTGCTTTACCTGATATTGCTGGTGTGTATTTTGGCACAAAATTGAGAACTGGATACCTAAAGACATCTGCAATTGGCATCTGTGCCCACTCAAGGCTACTGGTGACAAAAGTCTGGCTTGTGATGGCAGGCCAGTGAAGTGAATTTCCCTCCTTCCCTAACACCCCTGCTCAGTCTCCAGCTGCCAACAGTTACACAAAGGAAAAGCAACATATGCAATTTTAAAATCAGCAGTCCTACAACCCCAGCCCAAGTTTCATCCCTGGAAGTCCTTTAATAGAAGGTACATGGCAGATGTTTAATGCAGGCTTTCACTCCTCAATATTTCTCTGCAGGAGTCTGCCTGCCTATTGTGTCCTGTGTGATGAACCTGTATCATGGGTTTTTCTCCTATTACATGCTTTCAGCATTTCAGTGAAAATAAAGTGGGAAGCTTGGTGAAAAAAAAAAACAACTTGTGATTTACAAGTAATGGTACAATTAACACTGGAAACAGACATCTAAACAGACGTCTCAGTTGAGACCCAGTGCAAGATCAGTTCCTTGTACACAACAATAATGCTTATCTTGTCGAATTGCAGGTCTCAGCACTTCACAGTGGTGGGGATGTATAATTATTCCTGTAAGTAAATGTTGTATGGCATAGTGAATTCAAATTTCTGAAAGCAGAATGATGAAAATTAACACTGTCTGAAAAGATCTATTAAGAAGAAGGAAGTTCACAATAAGGCTTAGGTGGAATTAAGTAATTGCTGTTGATTTTGAAGATACTGTTCCAATATGGCCTGACAGCAAACTGTCAAGGAGTGTATTTAGCATTTTAATTCTCCTGTGTGGAGCAGGATGTTCTGTATTGTAAACCAGACAGTAACGAATGTTGTTCCTCTGATGTATTTTATGATGTGGACAATTTGTGATATAGCTATTCATTAAAAATCTGATTTTAACAATATGCTTCACCTTGATTCATGGTTACTCCCATTTTAATACAAACACATTGCCCTAGGTTTTAAAGTATAGTATCACCACAGGTACTTCTGAATTAAATAAAAGCAGGAGTGTATTTGGACTTTTCTGTCACCAGAATAACTTTGTCTGGTCAGTGAAAGGGTGTGTAAGTGTACATGGAGCCTTCAGAATTAGGAAATATTTGAGAGATGCAACAGTACAGATTGTTACAGCAGAGCTCAGCTGGATGTGTAAGACTACTGCAACCCTCTTTAGAGAGCAGAAAGATTCTTTGAGAATTGAGGCAATGGCTCAAAATCAATTGCTTACATATCAGTAATCCAAGAATTTTGTATTATTACTTGCATGTAACATTTATAGAATTCATCATATATTGAGAAAGACTGAGCTGACTGAAAAGAGTACAGCACATTTTTTTTAGCAATGGAAAGTTCTGGCTCATACTTGCAACAACGGTAATGCAGAGGGAATCACTGATCTGATTTTTGTTTTAAAAAGTCTAATTGCCTTATATTGAAGAGTTTCAATGGCTGTCTCACTCACTGTATTCACAAAACTTAAGTACTTATCTATAAACATTTGTGTTTCTACAACTAGATGACAGATCCAAATAGTAGGGAATTCAGGATGTTTTTCAAGTATTCCCTGCTCAGCGTGAATCTAGGTTGCCATACTGGTTCAGAGGCTGTCTTCATCTATAAACAATAAATCAATGTAAGTTGTGTTTACAAGGTAGATTTTACCACATTTTTTTTACTAGATTTTAGGATTTTATTTATCCATTTTTTTTCTAAGTATACCTAACAGTTTTTTGTTTGGAGAAAGCATATGGATCTGAGATCTCTAAATGAACTACCCTTCCATAGCTCCAATCTCAAACACCTGCAAAACAACCATAATTAGTGAACTAATTAGTTGCTTAGCTTACATCCCCCACCCCCAAATAAACAATCTGAAAATTCTAATTTAAGTCCTGCCTAGATGATGCCTGAAAAAATGGTGCTCTGAAATAGTCAATAATATACAACTGCCTGAAAATGAAAAAACTCTGAGTTAACGTCCAAGTTCTATACCTAGACATATATTCCTGCTGCAATTTTTTATCAAAGAGAAGGGGACATAATGGTAACAGGGTCGTTCGTGGAGGTAGCATTTCCTGGGAGAGAACAGTAAATACATCTCTACACCTTTCTGTTTTATAAAGTAGTACTAAGGCTGAAAACCAGAAATTTCTTTTGCTTATTCGACAGAGAGACAAAATCAAGGTGGATTCTAGGGTCAAAACTGTGAAAGTTTAAAGACAGGGGTTTCCAGTTCCTGTTCTATGTGGTACTTATTATAATGAACACAATGACTCTGATAACTGGATGTTAAAATATGTAAAAATGTTGAAGCTACCAGGCAGATCTTGCTGGAATTTTCAATGAGAGAATCTTCCCTTCTTTAAAATTTCAGGTCTCAGCAAAGTAAAGTTGGGTATTAATAACACACTAACAAGCAATTCTGCAATGAATATAGGAGCTGGAAATCACACTTCAGTACCACTTTGAGAAAAGAAATGGTAGTAATTTTTGACTGTTCATGATGTGACACGTGAAAAGATTCTTCCATTTCAACTTGGAGCTTTCCACCTTTAAACTTTGTTTCATTATAATGGGAAGCTACCCCAGGGAATATTTACTCTTAGAAAAACTTGATAGGCTCCTGAGGTTGCTTTGCTTTCCTAGTAAGTTGCTGCTGATGATTAAGGGCTGCTTTTTGTTTGTTTTGTTTTTCAGTAAATCTGCAGGAAGGGAACTGAAAGAAAACATTTCTAATAGAGCTGATATTTCAAATTGACCAGATCTCTTTAAAAACTCATGGTTGTTTGGAACTTCAGGGAATACTGGACTTGCCTTGTTCTTGCTATGCACCTTTTGATTACTAAATGAAATCCTGTATTACTAGAAGTGAAGGACTGCATGAAAATCATTCTAAGAAGAAAAAAATGGATAACTTCAGTGGTAGCAGGGGTGCTCTTCCCTTTCTTGCCTAGGAAGAAAGCTTCCAAACAGTAATCTGAAGTCCTTTTGTGTTTTAGGAGAAAAAGAATTAATTGAAAAACTCTTCCTTTAATAGCAAACTATTTTATGCTTAGCCATAAACATGTCACAAATCCAAGTGCACTGGCACAAACAAATATTCTAGTGCCTACAAACAGAAACAGCTGTTACAGAAAGTGGACTCTCTCAGCTCCTTTCTCTTTATTTAATCTTTATAATGATTTATTATTTGTGGCCATCAATTATTCTCAGAACTGCTGAATGCAATGTTTGATGACACTGTTTACACACTAGCTTAGTTCTTCAAATACTGCACTCTCTCAAGTCTGTGAGTAGCACTGACATTTAGAGGATATGACAGTAAGAATAGTGGGAATGGGGCTAGCATTTAATCACTGTTGTTAATATTTGTGCAGCAGCGCACATCTGAGAAAACTGGAGGGAGAACATAAATACTTCTGAGACTTGGTACACTGTAACCTTAAAAAATGTGAGGGATTTTCTTCTTTTTTTGTTTCTTCATTGCCTGTACAATTGCGTGCAAAAAGGGTAACAAAATAGCTATAAAGGGATAACAAATAAGTAACTTCATAGTCAATTTTAATGATGTGCTTGTAGGATTTAAGTAGGCATAACAGGTAGTCAAAGATATTAAAAAAATACTTCAGTAATGAATAATCTAATATTTTCTCAACCAGTTTTCTCTTTCCTGTCAGTAAGAATGGGCTTTACCAGCTGCACTTCTCACTGATGGCCTTCTGGTGATGCACTTCCCAATAGCAATTTCAAAAAGTTTTAGGCAACTCAGCAAAAGGGCATATTTTGGTTAAGAAGAAATGCAATATAACTGTAGTTGATAAACAAAAAGCTAGTCCGTTGTTTTTCACAAAAACAAATGAAAATGGCACATTTCAAGATACTGCCTTTCTGGGATGCTAACTTACAAGCTGAGGATAAACACTATTTAGAGTTTCCTACGTTTAACAATGTAAAATAAGTCAGGATTCCCTCAGGGTCCCTCTGGTTGTGACAGTGCCAGTGTTAACAACCTAACCTGAAATCCATGCTTGCAAAAGAGACTGAAGCGTAACTTTTTAAGTTCTCTTTTTAAGTTCTCTATGATAGACACAGTACATGAGCCAAATGACCAGGATCTGGCTAACCTGGTAAGATTAACCTGACAACAAGATGAAGTCAACAAAAGGCCATGGAGAGAAGATATTGAAGCTTTGCTTCTTAGTGTCATGTCTTATATAAATTTGATGGCATGGCAGACTTGGTTATGAATGCTCCTATTAGAAGCCTACAGTATCTATAGGTATGGATTCCAATTCCTAAATTGAGTAGTTTCAACAATTACAACTCAGACATGACGAACAAATTCTGCCACAAACTGTTAAATTAATGATACAAAAAGTTTTAAATAATCAAAAAAGACGTATCTGTGTTGAAATTTATTCTCTGCTTATAAAGCCATTCTGGTATTCTCTCAAGTATTACTAGTTTTGAAACAGAACGGGTGCCTACTTCAGTAACAGAAAGAAAGTTTCCTAATGCTGTAGGAAATCTCCTGTTTTAAAAAGACTTCAATTTTAAACAGAAGTGTGATATACATGTATGGAGGTTAACTACTTCAGAATAAAATGTTAGTACTGTCTTTATCCTTCTGTGAGAGTCAGGATGGCAACTGGTTAAATTATGACAAACACAACAGTATTATATTTATCTGAATAAAGCAGTATTTCTTGCTGTCAAGAGGATATATGGCAAAGAAACAGTCCATCTCTCTAACAAAAGAGTATTAACTCCCCAGAAAAGCTATGAATGCTGACAATGTTATCCTTACTTGCAGACTTCAGGGATGCATATGTAAGGAAAAGCAGTTGGATGCAACTCCGATTTTCCCAAATGATTGTGAAACATTTTTTAGATCTTAGTACACTTGAACTTGCATTAGCATACTAGCAAATTAAGGCACAGACTCTGTGTACTACTTAGAAGCATACAAGCTAACAAGAACATTTCCTATTGCTCTTTAGAAATATCTCTGGGCTACTTGAAGTACAGAACTAAGTAAATATATCCAGTACACTTACAATGAAGTTTTAATTAATGCCACCAAGTTTTCCAAGCACTACACTTTAATGGGTATGTGCATATAAACGCTTCCTTATCTCCAAGAAAAAAATCACTTAACAAAATGCAAGAAAGCACATCCTTAACAGCTGGATACTGATAGTACCACCTCAAATGCAGGTGATGTGATCCCACATCAACCATCCACTGTTGTAGTTGGACACTAATTCCTATGTAACAGACAAATTCTTCTAGACTACACATATTTTGGTCACACACAGCCCTAAACCACCACTCAGCACTACTGCAAATATTACTTGAGAGAACAAAAGATGATGTGAACAATAGAAAAGCCACCCTAACAGAAATAAAAATGTAATGTAGCCACTGACTTCACTACATCTCCAACCCCACTGTAACACTAAAATATAAGGCTAATTAACATTCTAGATGCTGTGTTACTTACAATCCCTGTTTCTTACTTGCATTAGCAGCAACTGGTATCATTGATCTGAATAGTTTAGTAAATTCCTTAGAAATATTTTAAGCACCCTTAAAGATGGAACTCAAGACAGGGATACGGTAACTTGTTCCTATTTCTATTCAGAGCCCCAGGAAACAATTCCAGCTGCAAAGAGAACCCAGAGTCAAAGTAACAAATGGTGCACTTTCCCCCCTCCCCTATCTAGTAAGTTTTTATTCTTTCTGGCTTATTTTTTTAATATATATTTATATGTATATATATACAAACACAAGGTTTATATTCTTGGTGCATTTAAACCTTGTTTATCCCCAGTCTTTTTGATATTTGATTGCAATAATGTAAGAAAAAATAGAAGGTTAGTATTTCTACTCTGCTGTTCCCTGTCAGAGGTTTTAAGCATACTTCTTTCCTTTTGGTTGTCTGAACCATTTCCTTCATGCCATACAGAAGTAGTATTTTCCTTTGGACACTATGCATGAAATATTCTTTCATTCAGAATAAACTTTTGGCATGCTCCAGCTGCATTCTGAGGAATTTCTACCAATTTAAGGGAGAAATCAGGGTAAAAAGCAAATCTATGCAACATATCCTTTAGGGCCTCTAAAATCAGTGATATTTGTTATTTGCTGCTATCATTAATAAACTGCTTCTTCTTAGCCTACTACTTTCACATATTCTTTGGAAAGCAGATAGTTTGCAGTATGTCTTAGCATGTGCTAAGAAATATACTTTATATTGGTCTTTTTTCTAAATAAACATAAACATAGGTCACCATAAAAGAAATATGTTACTGAATTCTGATGGCATTGAAGGAGAAAAAAGGCATTAAGTAGATCACATATAAAGGCAGAAGTATTTCTATTGTATGGTAATAAATGCACAAGTAATTCAACTACTAAAAAAATTCTGGATTTTTCCATTCAGTAAGCATGCTTGCATCTTGAATCTAACTGAGCTTCATGCTTAAAACCAAATATCACCTAAATATATCAGATGCAGAAAGAATTAAAAAAAAAAAAGCTTCTAGTTGAAATACTTGTCAAAACTGTCTTCAGTTATAAGGCCAACATGTATGACAATCCCCACATTAATATGCTGACCTACAGAACAAGGATAGCAAGTGAGAGCCCAGCTTAAAGTAGAATACCTCTGAAAAATGTCACTAGCAGTTATTTGCTGTAAAACAGGTAGAAGCCACAGTCCCTTAAATTTGTAATATGTGCTTTCTTATGTACATGTAACCTAAATTACAGTACTACTGTGACTGGATATATAGCATTTCGCAGTTTATATCTTTAATGCAGGTGTAGACACCATTCAATGATGGTACACCAGCTAATTTCAAAGTAATCCTAGAAGAATATTGCAAATAATGCTATATAAATGCATAGTGTTTGAGGGAAACAATTACTTCACTGGAAAATAAAGTCCCAGACAATTGAGTTGGCACTTCTTCATCACTATGTCACTTTCTTTTGATTGAAGACAGCTCCTTCTGAATCTCACTGAATTTTGGCCGGTTTTCTGGCTTGTAGTCCCCAGCATCTCTGCATTATTTTATATATTTCTTCTGGACATTTTGTGGGTGCAGACATTCGGTAGCCTGGTACACAGAAAAAGTGGAGAAAAACTTTTAGTACTGAAAACTGATGCATATTGACAAATCTAAAAAGGTAAGAGCAAAGTTTCAAGACCATTTCATTTATAAAGATCTTCAAGGCACTATGAGGAACATCTTCAATACATATACTATACATGAGAGATGAAACTAATTGTTAATTAGTTATGAAAACATTATTAACTAATGTTAATTAGTTATGAAACTAATTAAAGTTCAGGTACCAGTGACATTTAAGCTGGGCATGCTGAACTGTCATTTTGCTGCTCATTCCTTACATGGGGGAACCCACACAGATTTCTTTCCTGTATCTTAGGAAGTAGCTACCCTCTGGTTTTCAGTTGTATTTCCTTACTTCCCTGCATTGAGGAAATTGATAATAAAAACTAAGATGTGAGTAAATTTATTTGCTCTTTTTGAAGATGTATCACTTTTACTCTCACATTTCTTCCCTTTTTTCTCCTTAAGGAAGTTCTTCCCCGTTTGCACTTTAGTAATTAATTTTTCCTCCCTCTGTTTTGTTAACTTTTTTATCTTCCATTTTATCTCAACTCTCTCTTCTGGTTTGCTTAGATAGGGAGTGGACTTCCACACTTCTCTGCTGCCATCAGCCAAGGAGTTCTCTGACTTGACAATGAGCAGGAGAATGGACAATCAGTTAAGTAAATTAGCAGCTAATCATTCAAAAGTCACGGGTAAGTGGCTCTTCGGGGCATATCGTCAATACCCTGGACCACAGAGATGTACTTACAACAGTGAAGACAATTACCCAATGAGAAGGAAGTTGGGAAAAATGCCAGGAGGATCCTACGTATGAACAAGGAGCTTCTGGACAAAATCAAACACAAAATCACGTAATGGGAGGAATACCAAAACACTGTCTGAACCTCTAGTAGGAAGTTAGGAAAGACAAAGCCCAGAGGGATTGAACCTGGCCAGCTGTGTCAAAGACAACACAGGGCTTCTCTAACTTGCAGGGGACAAAAGGAAGGCTTGAAAAAATTGTGCCCACTGCAGAATGAGGCACTGAGCAACTCAGCAATATAGGACAGGGACAAGGCCAAGCTACCGAACGCTTTCTTCATCTCGGCCTCTACTAGCAAAACCAGCCTTCAGGAAATCCCAAGCTCCAGGATCTGTGAGAAAGGCTGAACAAGGAAGATGTACCCTTGGTGGAAGAAGACCTAGTCAGAGAATATTTAAGCACACTGGAGTTAAGTTCTAAGTCCAGGGGCTCTGATGAACTCATGAGTGATGAGAGAATTGCTGATGTCACTGCCACACCATTCCAAATCACCTTCATGCATCACTTTGACTACTGGGGGGAGTACCTGAAGACAGGAATAAAGCAAGTGTCACTCTATCAAGTCAGAGCACCCAAGGAACTGCAAGCTGGTGCAGCATCACCTCAATCCCAGAAGGTGATGGAGCACCTAATGCTGGAAAACAATTCCAGGCTGTAGAAGGAAGTCATCAGGAGTAAGGCATGCAGAAAGTCAGCATGGTTTCACTAAGAGCAAAGTCATGCTTGAACAAATGTGAGAAACTTCTTCAATGAGATGGGTGGCCTGGTACATGAGGGGATTTCACTGTAAAAACCCCACAGAGACACCTCTGAATTTATGGTCTAGATGACCAGACACCCCGGTGGATTGAAAACTGAGGCTGAACAGTGAGCCCTGCAGGGAGGTGATGAGTGGTATGGAAGTCTGAGTGGAGCTCCAGGGTCCAATCCTGTGTCACACCTTCATTAAGGCTGTGGATCCTTAGTGAAGGTGACACAGCAGTGGTGCACCCTGGCTGGTGGCACCGAGCTCTTGAGGGGGGCTGATACACCAGAGGGTCGTGGTGCTGTCCAGAGGGACCCAGACAGGCTGGAGAAAGCGGCTGACAGGAACCTCAAGCAGTTCACCACGGAAAGAACCAAGTCCTGCAGCTGGGAAGAGCCCCAGGCACCAGCACTGGTGGGGAATGCCCTGCTGGGAAGCAGTTTGGGCAGGAAAGGCCCTGGGGCTCCTGCTGGACACCAGAAAAGAATGCTAATGGCACACTGGGCTGCACTGGAAGGAGTGTTCAGCAGCTGAAGGAGATCATCTGCCCCCTCTGTTCAGTACAGTCTGAAGCCATGTCTGGAGTGATGGGTCCAGTGCTGGGCTCCCCAGTACAAGACAGACACAGGCAAAATGGAGAGAGTCTCATGAAGGATCACCAAGGTGAGTGAGGCACTGAAACACCTCCTATCAGGAAATGATGAGTGAGCTGGAGTAGCTCATCCTGGAGAGGAGAAAGCTCGGGGGTTCTCAGCAATCTACATAAACACCTGCAGGGAGGGCGCAAAGAAGGTGGGTCCAGGTTCTTTCCATGCCCAGTGACAGGACACTGAGGTGATGAGCACACACATGGGAAATTCCTCCTCAGCATCAGGAAACACTTTTCCTTGTCAGGGTGACTGAGCACAGACTGCCCAGAGAGGTGGTGGCATCTTCATTTAGAGAGATACAAAAGCCATCTGTGTGTGATCCTGCAGCTGGGTGGACCAGATGTCATTCAGAGCTCCCTGCCCACCTCAGCCATTCTTTTAGTCTGTGATTCCACAAATTGTTTACCACATGTAGCTCTGAGCAAATGACAGGCAGTGCACAGTGATGTGCACTGGATCCAGAGCTAAATGCAGCAGTGACCCAGACTCATCGCACAAGTCTCTGTATGTCCCTTTCTAAAGAATAGTGCCATGACACTGACCTCTTGAACTGGAAAATCTGAGAAATATTTTTGGGTTTTTTTGTACTGCACACATCTGCTCTAGGTACTGGATGAATGCATGCAAGTTCAAACAAAAATGGCTTGGTCTCTAAGATTTGATTTGGCCTTTAAGGAGAAACTTTATTATCACCTACAGTGCTTATAAAACTATAAAAAACACTGACAATGTGTGTAAATCAGCAAACCAGAGTTTTTTTGTTTGTCATTTGTTTTGTTTTACATAATTTGGAAGTTTTACTAGCTTAGAACATATTTATAAATTATACAGTAGTATTATGTAGGGAAGGAATAGTTCTGACATGCCACTAAAGACAATGAAAATAAATCACACTCCAGAAATCCTGCTCATAGTTATTTGCTATTTTAAGTAAAAGCCTTTAGATTATTTTGTAAAAGAGAAATGCAGCTTGCAATGCTCAACTAGCTCACCATGCTCCACCATAATTGCTAAATCTTTCTGTGAAATGATTTAATAAAGAAGATGGAATGATAGAGATTTTTTTCTGGCAGTTTAGAATATTTATACCTGCATTAGCATAATCTTAAATAATTCATTCTGTTCAAGCTTCTGCTTTGCACAGCAGTAAATCCCTCCTTTCCATCTCACCTGGTAGTTCTGCAACAATGAAAGTCAGCATGCTCTAAGTCTTCCAACTTTTAAGTTACTGGTCAGTGTCCTCCTTTTTTTTCAAATGGACTATATATACCACCCTACTCCTCCTAGAGAGCTAGATTCAGCAGTTTAGGAAACCTCATTGTCGTGGTTTGACACGGAAAAAGAATTTTTCCGGAAGGAAGAGGTCAATTTGGACATTGACCAATTGAAGGTAGACACGCCTCTGAGAACACAGAGGGGTTAAAAGCAGAATTCCCAGGGGAACTCGCTCTCTTGGGTTCCAGTCAGCGGTCAGTGCAGGACTCTCCCCTGCCCGGCCCGTGGCCTGACTGAGGTAGGCCCAAGGGTGGAGGGACTGGAACCCCCCTGCAGATGGAAGGGTGGAGAAATCTGGGATGTCTCCGTTCCCCCCCAGAGTCTCTCTCTCTCAAAAGAGAGAAAGAGACAGCAGCAGTTCTGTCAGCAGTTCACCGCGGGGAAGGAGAAGGGGAAGGAGAAGAGCAAGGTGCCCAGTCGGGCTGTGGGAGCTGGAGCCTGGGCAGCAAGCCATCTCTGGGAGTCGGGACTTTTAACCCTTCCTGAGAAATGAAAGCTTTGTGAAATCTTTTTCTTTGGTTTAAAAGAGAGGAAGAGAGACAGCTTGGACCCTGGGATGTTAGAAGGAGAAATTCTAGGTGGGAGGAGATGATGGAGTGGTGTTTGGCTGGACTTTTTCTTGGTAGCCACAGACTGAACTGATCTTCTCTTCCAAGAGAGACTGTATTTTAGGAGGATGCCGGTGAGCCAAAGAGACCATGCTTCAGCTGGGAAAAGACAGAAGTGGAGCGAACAGAGAAAAGTTAAGGGGTTTGTGGTGGTGCCCCCTGTCTTCAGAGAGGAAGAAGAGAAGAAGATCTCTATTCGTGGATCCTCGGCCCCAGGGGAAAATGGGGGGGACTGTGATCCCAAAACCAAAAAACTGAACTGTTGTTTTTCCCCTCTTGGCAGGGCATCCTTGAAAGGAAAAATCCTAAAAAGCAGTCTGTCCATCCATGCATTGGTGGTGAGAGCGCTGTGCATGGAAAGGAGAGGGTCACCACTGGCAAACTTTTTCTCCGGGCGGTGCCATGTGTGACATGGAAGCACAGGGTGTGGCAGCTGTGTTTCTTGGGGGGTCTGTGATTTCTGGAGGGTGGAAACCTGATCTGGGTCCAGGTTGTGTCTCACTGTGGTTTGTTGGAATTGGGTGGTGGGAGGAGGAATGCTTTGGAAGTTTTCATTTTGATTTTTGTGTGTGTGTTTTTTTTTTTTTCTTTTTCCTTCCATAGTAGTAGTCGCTTAATAAAGTTCTTTCTTGTTATTGAACTTGGGCCTGCTTTGCTCTGTTCTCGATTGCATTTCACAGCATTCAATTGAGAGATTGCATTTTCATGGGGACACTGGCATTGTGCCAGTGTCATACCATGACACTCATATTGTTTTTGCTAAAGTTGCTACAAAACTTGTATGTTATTTCTTGGCTATTTTACACTGAATCCTTATAATTTATCCTGCATTTCTTTCACTCCCTATGAATAATTACCTTTCTCAACTTGCTCTCGTGCTTGTTGGTTGGTCATTCCAGGGTATGGGCATACTCCTAAACTGAAGGTCTCCCACAGAAGGATTCCAAAGCTCCATACATCACTCTCAGATGTGTATCTCCCTAAGAAAAGGAAAGCAAACCTTCAACTTAACATACAGCGAAATTGGTGTTTCAAATAATTATGGCCCAAACTTCCTGTAAAAGTAGAAGTGTTATACTGGCGAGCTTCAGGCAAAACAAAGCTGTAGCTATTAATAAAACATTCTACAGATTTCACAGTCCCCAGTGTTTCAAAGAAAGAAAAAATTATATTAAAGCAAATACTTTGGCGTAACATAAGCTAACCTTTAGTTCTACTATTATATACAGACCACACATGTCTGTCATGCAAGAATTTATTTCCTTCTTAATGTATAAAAATATTTTTCTTTTAATATAAAAGGACAAAAAAATTTCAGGGTTTTCCCATTCATTTACAACTGCGTTCAATTCCAAATATTCTTTAAAAATTACCTTTTCCAGTTCTCCATTTTAGCATGGCAGTAATTCTGAGAGGAGCTACCACCATCACTGTTTCTAAGTGTGAAGAAGGCCTGGTTCTCATGCTTTGGGAAACTGATCTCTGAAAATCTAAGTAAGGCTGGATACTGCCAAACTGACACACCCAATCAGTTGAAAAAAAAAAAAAAATCAGGCCTGCTGGTTCAGTTGCCTCCAACTATGCTTCAGAGATAGCAAAACAGGTAATTGATAGACAATTGAATTCCAAGCCTCTTTGCGCAATTACAGCTTTCTACTACCGGAAATAGGAGTAGATTTTGGAGCAGATATTTCTATTGACCCTGATGGATTCACATTACAAAATTAAGACTATAAAGCCTTTTACAGCAGAATCAGTGAAAATGTTACCTTAAAAGTCCATTTTCAACATCACTTTCAACATTTTTCATGACTGCTCTTCCTTGTTGTATACTATTAATTTGTATTTACATGTCTGTATTCTTTAAAAACAACACTTGTGAATGTATTGTTTATTTATCTGTAATCATCAAACAAGCCAAGCTAAGCCACTCCTGACTAAGAAAAAAAGGAAAAATTATAGTGACAGTTGATGACAGTGACAACTGTTCTGACGTCAGAAAACTCAGTTTACTCTTAGGCTAAATATCCCTTCCAGCTGTGCTATGTTAGCTTGTGTGTCTCATAGCTGACAATTATAGATATTCACTATGCTCTTTGGAGTAAGATTCGTTTTCTTGTCTCTGTATCAACTCCCCACAGCTGGGCATCCAGTAATTTAACACTTTTCACTGAAAGCATTCAGCAAATACAAGGTAGGCGATTAGCTGTTTTCTTTTTTTTTAAAGAAAGTGCAAGTTCTGTACAGTTAATTATATTTTCTGCTATAACATTTTCTGAAGGGAAAAAAAAAAAGATCTGTTTAGAAGATCCAAGTCCTCCCCACGTTAACATCACAAATAACTCAAAATATTGTAGGGGGAAAACATACATATTAAATGTATTTTAATTTTCAATGATCAGGAAGCAGAAATACCCCATAATTATCCTAAACATGTGCTGGTTTTGGTGGGGTAGAATTAATTCTACTCACAGTGGCAGGTACAGGGCTGTCTTTTGGATTTGTGCTGAACCCGGAGTTGATAATTGAGAGATGTTTTTGTTATTGCTTTGATTGCACAGAGCCAAGGCGTTCCCTGCTTTTCACACTGCCATGCTGGTGAGGAAGCTGGGGGTCCTTGGGAGGGGACACAGCCAGGACAGGTGACCCCAAACAGACCAAAGGGATATTCCAGACCATGTGACATCAGTCTCGGTGGGGGAAGAAGGAGGAAAGGGGAGACATTTGGAGTGATGGGATTTGCTTTCCCAATAATGGTGTAGAATGGCTCTGAACAGCACCCACAGAACCAAAGTTTCCATTTCTCAAAAACTCCAGTGACATCTGAATTTTGCTTCTGACTTCTAACACAATTTGTATTGGAACCACAACATTTGCCCTAGACTGGTTTCTTGCCTTCACTACTTGTGTTTTTTCTTAAATTAACATACTTTAATGACCACTCTTAATTTGTCACATACAGTGACTTCAGCAGAGACTAAAAAAAGGAACTTTTCTGTAGCTTCTTAAACACATTAGCTTAACACTAGCATTCATGTAATGGCCAAATGACCCTATTCCTCATTTTCCTCCAACCTTTGAATCTTGATATTCAGGACTGACCTGGCTAGTGTTTACCAACTAGTTTTGAAATACTGAAGATGTAGTTTTACTTCATTTTGATACCTTAAAAACCTCCAGTCTTACCTACATAATTCAGTGCAATTCTTACAACCTTGTTATTAGAATGGAAAACAATAAAACATAATCCAATAAGTTCTACTAATATATTTCAAGGGAGTGGAAAAAACTATCCTTCAAAAACACAGAGAAATCTTTCATGACATTTTGAAAGCTGAATATTGACTGCCGAACATATTAACATGTTTGAGAGAGCTTATTTCCCAAACATTACAGAAGATGAATATTTTTCATTTTATAGCTGCTGGAATATGTATGTGCTTTAGGAAACACAAAATAAGTTAATGTTAATCAAAAATCCCCTCTTCTCCTGTACAGTGCGGAAGAAAAACAGACTCAGCAGTACAAAGTGAAGGTGCTGTCACAAGAGCCTGCTCCCTGCTAAATGTAGCCAACTGGACCACGTATAGTTATAAGGATAGGTTTTCATAATATATCAAAAACACTGTATGCATTTCCAAAATAACAAAAATAAAAACCCAAAACACCATTTATAGTAGACCAAACACCCAACAGAGCAAAGCATTCACCAGTGAATGTTGGCAACACTAATTTCTCTTAGGATAATTGGTAATACAGAATCAAGTACTAAACTGAATTTACAGTCAGCCTTTTAAAGGGAAGATCTGCATTACTGTGTTATGTCATTAACTGCTGCAAAAGTGCTAATGAGAGGAAGCATTCTGCTATCAATCATAATTCACAAACTTATGATTTCCAATGCACAATTTCTGAAAAAAGTCTAAATTTAAAAGATGGCAGAAATATTTATAGACACGTCAAATAAAGAACTCAAAAATATTTTAATTATGTGTACTCAACTAAAGAACTGGTTTAAAAAAGTATATTCAAAATATACATTTATTAAATGTGTTGCTTCTTCAGAGCCCTCTTTACCTAGAAGAACTTTTTTTATAGTTTCATATAAGCAAAAAAAACATAAGAGCAGCAGCTTCTGTTTCTATTCTGGAATTATTACCCATATAGTGTGGACCACTTCCCTCAGCGATAAAGAATGAATTTTTATCCCCAATATAACAACCTAGTGATACACAAAAATGCAGGTAAAGAAAACCTGCAGTTAAAAACCCCCCAAAATAAAACAATGACTGTAAATTTCACCAATGCAATTAATTATCTAACACAGTGTTCCAGTACATTAACATTTTCTACTGTTTTCAATGAGGGGCCATATATATGCAGAACTTGCCATTCATTTTGCTAACAATCATAATTTAGATGACTGACGAGGCTGTCTACAAGAATGAGTCAGCAGCAGAACCAAAGCACTCTGCTATTGCTGCATAATAGCAATTCTGATGTTGCTGCCCTATTGTATTTTGGCAGCAAAGCTGTATTTTTTACATAAATCAGACAGAAATATTACAATTATTTTAAATATCATACATTTGAACAGTCAGAAAAGAATTATATGTATCTACACGTTTGGATTTTTTTTTTTTTTTTTCAAGAAAATCCAGTTATGTTCTTACCATAATTCAGAGCTTCTGGAGCAGTCCACTTGATTGGAATCTGCTTTAGGCCTGAGGATGAGTACACCCCATCGTCCTCTTGCCGGGACATCCCAAAATCACTTATTTTCAAGATGTTGCTTTCACCTACCAAGCAGTTCCTTGCAGCCAGGTCTCTAAATTAGAAAAAGAAATAAACACCCACATTTTTACAGGTCTGAAAGTATTTAGAAGTCTTTAAACCAACTGGGCCCCTTAGCCAAGATGATCATGCCTCTCAGAGGCTTATTTACAAAAGGGTAAAAAATACTTCACAGCAGTTGTGGGGAAACAGAAGTGAGGAAAGGGAAAAAAAGTCAGAAATAATCCTATGAAGAAGTGAGGGGAGTAAATGCTGGAGATGCTCCAAATGCCTGAGCAGATAATCTCCTGCAGTACGAGGGAGTCACAGTGGAGCAGGGGAGGAGTGTGAGGCTGAGGACAGGAGCTCTTATGGCCAGACCAGAACCTCCATTCCCCACTCACACCTTGGGAGAGGAGGTGAAGAATTTCAGAGTGAAGGAGCACCTCAGAAGAAGGGAAGGGGAAAAGGTACTTCAGTTGTTGTCTTTTATTTTTCAGCATCCAACTCTACTTTACTTTGCAATATATTAAATTCATGTTACCTAAGTTCAGTCTGTTTTGCTATGATGGTAATAGGTAGGTGATTTCCTTGCCTTCATCTTGACCTCCAAATTTTTTCTGTCTTATTTTATCTCCCTGTCCTGTTGATGAGGATGGGGAGTGAGAAAGCATCTGTGTGGGGATCTGGCAGCCATGCAAAGTTAACCTGCCATAACTGCCCTCCATTTATTCTTCTACAAAAATAAACCCCAGATTAATGAATTGGATCCTATGGAAAACAAAACAGAATTTGAAGAAGCATCCTGAAATGTGTTCAGTGTGTGTTTCAGTGAGAAATCTGAGATACAGCTCCATCTTCCCTCTGTCCATTAGAGTTTCTATCAAAATATAGAAGCTATTCAGCATAGAAAAGGAATTTTGGCTCAGTGATGGATGAGAAGCTCAGAAAGTCAACTCCTTCCCTTTATCTCAAATTTGTTTATTTTTTTAGATCAGGAGACATGCAGTAATACCTGAGAAAAGACCCACTGTGACTTCTCTACATGCTAATAATATATTATAAACATACTATATGTATATTGTATTTCAGTGTTTCATAGTTGATTAAAATACAAAATAACAAAATACATTTTATTATTCCCATTGTAATTAACAAAAAGCGAGAGATATGTTAAGCAAGAGGATTAATTCTAAACTATTATGATAATCATGGGCAAAATATTTTTAAACTAAACTTATTGTGATTTTGCTCAGCTAAATAGCTAATACGCTTACAAATGGCTTACGTGAATATTCCAGAAAAACTACAATAACTTTGATGTTTTGAATTGGAGCTGTAATGCAGTTCTGAAGTGAATCCCCTGAGCACTTAATGCACGTTCATTGTTTTTTGAAGAATAAATTTGGTGCATGCAAACTACGCTGCTCTTGGAAGAAACTAACTTAGAATTCTGCTCATGATGTCCATGGAATCTGTTTATCTAGCTACAGAATTTTCTTTCTATGAAATTTGTTTCTACAGCTAATGCAGAGAGGTCTGAACCAGTGGTAAACAGCTTCAAACCCTACCCACAGTAATGACAAATTTAACCCAAACTAAAAGTCTTGAGCCATGTTTAAGGATGCTGAAGCTCATACATCCACTTTAATCAGCTCATCCATATTGATATTGGGCTATGCTATTCAATATGTAGACAGAGCCTAGATATGATCCTAAATATCATAACTTGATTTAAATTTTAACATATTTGACTCACGCAGATTTTCTGCCACTAAAAACATTAATAGCTCTAGAGCTTGAGTGATATAAACAAAGTTATTTTGTGGCTTGAGAAGATGGACCACTAAAAAACAAATCTGAACTCACAGGCACCAGCTGAAGATGTGCACAAGTACATAAAACTGTTCAGTGTGCAGTGCGTTACTACATAGTTTGATGTTAGCACGTGGTGGTATGGTTATATACAGCTACATTGATTAAAGCAAGTGAGCTGCAAAACAAAATCAAACTGCTATTGTTTATCCTCAAGTGTGTAAAAAGTATCACCACAGAACTTCAAGAATTTATGACTTAAGTTCCAATCATACTTCAGTAATTAGTTTTTATAATGTTACTCAATATAGTCTAGATTTTGCAACTGATGCACATAAGGAATGGAAAAAGTAATGAGGTTCTATCTCAAAGAAAATGTAAAGTTAATTGAAAGCACAGGTATCCTCCTACCTGAAGTATGACCTAGCACTTAAACATATTGAGTCAGGTTAAGAAAAATCTATATACTGAGCTGACTTAGGTTTATTCCTCATGCATAAGTCTGATTATTAGGGAAAATGGACTGCAAATAATATTCACATTATGGTGCTTATAAACAAAGACTACACTCAGTTTGCATAATTTTTGTCAGCTTTGCACATAAAATATATGAATTTTCTTTTTCATTCCGAATCACGTAGAGAAAAAGCTTTTCATCCCTACTGAAAATTGACTAAAACACTTCCATGAAAATCAACTGGTATTTGCAGAAGTTCGTAAAGACTCTGACACTCTGTTCAGGATATATATAAATTAACACCACAAAGAACAAATTAAATGTTTACATGTTTTCAGTCTCACAGTAGTAACACCTTTTACGTTTTTTAGGTAAAACTCTCCCATTTGTTATGCTATAATACTCTCTATTACTTTCAATATGTAATTTCTCTTAATAAATATAAATAATAAATATATCAAGTGAGCACTTCATATATTTACTTCTGACACAAGCAAACCTGCCTTCTTTTATCACCCTGTGTATGATATGCTCTTTCTCTCATTATTTAGAAAATAAGTTAGACGTGATAATTTCAGTCCCTAGGCATGCAAATGCAACAATGTTAGATTATCTTGTTAGTATTTGTACTGTCATTTTACATCTGTTTCATATCCTTAGTGATTTGTTGCTTAATTTTACAGATAATTTTTATATGTATTTGCATGCTTAAAATAATTTTTTAAACAATTACACTGAAAGCTATGGGTACCTCAGCTTTTTTTTTTTTTTCTTTACTATTATTCTGAGGGTTTGGTTAAGACTTTTCAGTATTTTTCAAGTAAATTCTTCACTGTTCTTCATTATGTCTGAATGCTTCCTTTAAAAGCATGTTCTTATTTTTCAGTTTAGACATAAGAGAAAAACACAGAAGATGCTTTCGGTCAACACAATTTATTACAGAAAATGGCATCAGCAACTATTACTCCCATAACTTTAAAATAATAAATTCATGTCTGTCAGTAAAGACATAAACCTACTAAAGCTTTCTCTAAGGACATTCTTACACTCCCTCCCCCCTTCCCCCCACACCCCACAGGATCTGCAGAGCAAGTACTACCTAACATTGCAATGCAATTCTATGAGTTAAAGCAAAGCAAAACTAGAGAGCAAAGTCCTCATTACTAAACCAGCAGCACAAACTGCCTCACTGAACTAATTAGCCATTTTATATTCAGTCCCTGGATCACGCAGTTAAAATACTCTAAGGTGATAAAAGCAAGTAATTAATTAGTGAACAGGATCAGTTTATCTCCTCTGCACATTAAATTAAATGAAAATAGTCTATTACCTAAATATAAAAAAAGGGGAAGGAAGTGAAATTACAAGATAAATTGCTTGGTTTTTTTGTGAACTGTAAGATACTACCTCATCTTCATACACCTAATGTAATTTCCAGTAGTGTCTAAATCAAAACACAATGGGGCCTAAATCTATTTCAGAACCTTCTTGAGATGCATATGCTAATTTTGCTGTACGTGGAGAGTTCAGCAAATAACATGTGCCTAATAAGAGACTGAGAAATATTAGAGGGTTAGAAGACCACCCTTGCATGCATTCTGAGTTTTGTTCCCCCTTTTTACTTTGATTTAATTATTTCTTTACATTATTTTAGCTATTATGAAAATATTGGAACCATATTAACTACAATGTTAATAGCTTCTCTCAGTTTCTCATATATAATGCAAGTCCATCTTCATCTCCACAGATGGTGCTGGCAAACCAGAGAAACTCCAATAATGTCAGGTGCTCTGCTTGCCATCTACAGTTCTAGATGTTGCTCACTTCCTCTCAACTACAAAAATAAGCAGCTCTACCCACATCACAGCATTGGTGACCCTCAATCACTCTTTATAAAGCGCTTTGCACTTAAGTGAAGGACTTAAAATTTTTGCAAAAGGAACTCAAAAAAGGAAAAGTAACAAAACAACTCCCAAAAAAATTGTATGCAATAGCTGAACACATCTGTCAACTTATTTACTGTTTGCCACCCAGATACGACTCAATGGACTCTACAGATCTACTGACACATTAAGTTTTATTTAGGTAGGCTACTGTGTGCCCTCCCTTTTCCTAGCAGGGCAAGTTGTCTATACCAGCAATTTTAAGAAAGATAAAGAAGGTAATAGTTAACAATGAGCACTTTTTGAGGAGAATCAAAGCAGTAGACTATGAGGATGGAAATGAAGCAATAAATTGCTGTATCATCTATTCCTCCCTCCTTTTTCCTATTTCTGAGGTTGTCTTCACAATGCCTGCTCCTGGAACAGAAACATTCCTATCAGCATCATCTAAATGGTTTTTATCTGCATTGTTTCTCAACTGTTTTAGAACTTAATAGTTATTGCCTGTATTCTTCTGAATAGTTATTTTGATGAAAAAGGCATTACAGTAATTTTGGTCTATAACAGCCCTCTATGCACTGATATCACTGTACATTTTTATAACCAATTTTTCCTGTGCACTACTGATTACATGTAATATGCTGAACAAAATGTCTAATTCTTCTTTTTTTCTTCTTCTCATGCTGTATCTTGAAACAAAGGTTTGCAATCCAATTTCTTTTGTATGCCCATTTTAGTGAAAAACTAAGGGTCTGGACAGCCATCAGAGTGGATGATAGGCAACTTCCTGGAGATCCTACAGTATCAGAGTGACTAGAAAACAAAATATACCTTCTAGAAATACTTAAGGACAGGAAAGTCAGAGGAATAACACCTCTGCTGGATTCCATGCAACTTGGA